GGGTCCCAGGCCAGAAGCTCCTGCAGGGGCTTCTGGCAGAGGGGGGTAAGGCCAGACAGGCCCTGCTGTTGCAGGAGCCCTCTGGGCTTCCCCTGGGTCCTACTGCCCCTGGATCCTGTCATTTTTTACAGGAACCAAAGACAGATAAATATTAATTTTCTAAATTTTTTAAGGGCCCCATGGGCTGGATAGAATGGCCTGGGTCCCAGGCCAGAAGCTCCTGCAGGGGCTTCTGGCAGAGGGGGGTAAGGCCAGACAGGCCCTGCTGTTGCAGGAGCCCTCTGGGCTTCCCCTGGGTCCTACTGCCCCTGGATCCTGTCATTTTTTACAGGAACCAAAGACAGATAAATATTAATTTTCTAAATTTTTTAAGGGCCCCATGGGCTGGATAGAATGGCCTTGCAGGCTGTATTTTGCCCACTCCTGAACTGCATGATAGTCATCTGTTTTTACTCAAATGGTAATCTGATACAATTCTGATAGATCATCCCACTTTGTGCCTACTTGTTTGGCTGTGAACTACCTTATAAGAAAGCATTTCCCTTTATAGAAGTACTGTACTATATACTAAAAAAAAATTATTAAGAGAATAGGTCACCTCGTTCCAAACAGGATTGAGTTCACTATCAATTTTCTTTGTTTTCTTTTTTTCATCTGCAAATGAAAATAAAATGTAATTGTTTATATCTATGAAAAGGATCAAATTATCAAGTAAAATATTTTTAAACTCTTCCCTTTCCTTTTGTGTACGAGTTTTAGCTTTACAGCAAACTTTTTGATCTATTCAGTATCAGTTGTTTCTGTTGCTGAGAATTCCTTTGGAGAGGAATAACTCTTTTAAAACAAGCAAGCAAAGAAATATACCACAAAATGGAAATACCATGGAAGTTGAGGGGCAGGGGGAGGGCTTTATGTGTCCTGTCATTTCTACACTGCCTCTAAGGTGAGCCTGGAAGCGATGTTCAGAAGCACATCCCAAGCCCCCGTGCTCCCATTCAGTATCCACCAAAGCCTGAAAATTAGGTAGTTTAGAGCAACCCTTGAATTTCTCTCTTCCTGGTTTTCTCAGGTATGCTTCTAGGGGTTTTATTTATTATTTTAGCATAACTTTAGCATAATTTATGAAAGGGATCAGCCAGAGACAACAGGCCATATACCATATTTATTCAAATACAAAACAAGGTTTTCTCCCCCCTCCCCCCGCCATTTAACATGAGGAAAAAAGTCCCTTGTTTTGGATCCAAATACAAGGTGGAGGGGCAGGGGCAATGTGTAGGGGTGCACGCACGCCCACTGAACATGGTGGTGCACCCCCTACAAAAAGGCACCACCAACACTGTCAGTGGCACCTCCCTGCTGGTCGCCACTCACCACCCCCCTGCTGACACTGTTGACAGCATCTGCGAGTGGTCCACG